TCCGTTCCCAGATCTCCAAGACGACGATTCGTCTTCAGACTCTTCCTCGGATTCTGAGGGCTCTCCATCAAATGAGGGCTTTAGGATTCCTTTACCCAATGGCAATGAGATTGACTTTGACGATCTCGAGCCTGCACAATCGCCACCTCCTCAACGACCTCCCACACCGCCTGCTCAAGAGCAACCGCAACCGCAACAACCACCTCCTGTAGAGCAACCTCCACCACGACCTCGACATGTTCGTAATCGTCATGAGCTAGTGGGAGTCAATCCTCAGGCTCCGCCTCCTAGACGTTCGAATCGTCAAGATGCAGGTCGCAATCCTCGATGGGAAAAGGACAATTCAGAAGCTGAGGGCTCCAATCGTCCTTCTCAGGTCGATGCTCGTACTCGTCCTGATGGCTCTCGTTCTGATGCGCCTAACACCGGGGATGCGGATGCTTTACTTGAGTTGCTTCTTGATGCGGCGCAGTACAAACCAGGCATTCTTCGTAATCGGCATGAAGCAATGCGTTCTCCAAAGGCTGATCTCTGGCGTGCTGCCGAGAAAGCTGAGTATGATTCGCTGATCGAGAACAAAACCTGGGTTCTAGTGCCTCATCCCAAGGATAAGCCTGTCGTCTCTTGTAGATGGGTTTATGATGAGAAGCATGATGGTCGGTTTAAGGCACGGTTGGTTGCACGGGGTTTCACCCAGGTTTGGGGTGAGAACTATCGCGAGACGTTCTCTCCCGTTGCGCGGTACGAATCTATCCGGTATCTCATTGCGCACGCTGCGCTTGAGGACTGGGAGATGGAGTCTATGGACGTCAAAACCGCATTCCTGAACGGTGATCTTGAGGAAGAGATCTACATGGAACAACCGGAAGGTTGGGTTGTCAAGGGGAAAGAGGATCACGTTTGCTTGCTCAAGAAGGCTATCTATGGTCTTAAGCAGGCTTCGCGTCAATGGAATGCGAAGATCCATCAATCCCTTCTTGATCTGGAGTTTACACGGACGTATTCCGATGCCGGCGTATACGTATATCGGCGACATGG